ATAAGATAACCTAGGTAGTGGCCTCATGAGAATTAGCCGCAACGAGGCGGCGATGTGTTTTGGAGAACTCACCCAAAATCTGCGAAACTCGTCCAGATGCCTTAAATCGAATAGGGTCTTATTACATGTTCTTGCACCCTTTTTTCCTACTTTTTTGATTAATGCTTCACTTGCCACCTGTTCTAACAAATCTGACCCCTTAAACCTGCCATAAGTCGATCGCGGGCGCTGTCTTTAATGAATGATGCTCCTCAAATTCCTCTACTTTGACATTCAGTGAGAGTGAGAAGTTGTTAGGTTTTATTAATTTGAAACAACTCCGAATAGTGAGGTATCGTAGGGGGCCAAATTCACATTAGCTGTGACTTTCTCGAGGGAAGCAGTGAGTTTCAAGGATTGGGCTCCGATGTTCCAGATAAATACCTGACCGGAATTAAGACGACTCGCAAAAACATGTAAAGTTGGCATCGACTTCCCGCGGTATCCTTTGCACATCCGAATCATTCCAATACTTTTCGATGCCCATTCTTTATTCTTGTTGCGCTTTTTATATTCAGAAGGTGAAAGCTTTATACTCCCGCATAACTGCACCACGGTGGCCACTATTCCAACAGTAACATTTTGTTGCCTAGCATTCTCACAATGTGTGACTACACAGACAAACCATCCTTTTTTATTTAGGATGCGTTTATATTTTGCGGCGGCGTACGCCAGCGGCAGTGTCCTGGAAAGGATAGATATTGTAAGGGTCCCGCACAACATAGTAATTGTATGATAGTAGTAGTGTGGTATTCTTATCTGTTTCTTTCATCAGCGCTTCTCTTGCTCGAGCTTACAATTACAGGAGTACTAGGGGTACGGTATTCAGGGTACAGCATGGGGATGTGCGAAATGTCGGTGTGAGTACGACCCCCCCCCCCTTCGAATGGGGTCCAGGCACGACCCCCCCCCCCTCCACGGCTTTTTCGCCGACGACGAGCAATCCTACTATATATAATCCGCTAAGTTTGTCTGTTGGTGTGTGTGTGTGTGTGTGTGAATGTTGTGTGTCTGTCTGTATGTGTGTTTGACCGAAAATTCATAACTTCCTTCAAAACAGCGATAGTGCGCTCAAATTGATAAGTGATGTAGGGGGTCGGGCAGGAACATTGTTGGTGGGTGGCAGGAAGTGATAACAGCTGATAAGATACCATAAGGAGCCTTAGAAGGAGTGGGTTGCCTAATTCATAACAGCCAGAGCAACGACCGAACGTTGGATCCAAGAAGTGAGATAGGGGGCAGGATGGGAACATCATTGGTGGGTAGCAGGAAGTGATAGCAGCTGATAAGATACTATAAGGAGCCTTAGGAGTGGGTTGTGTAATTCATAACACCGGGCAGAGCAACGACCGACGTTGGATCCAAGTAGTAAGATAGGGGGTAGGATGGAACACTATTGGTAGGTGGCAGGAAGTGATAGCAGCTGATAAGATACCATAAGGAGCCTTAGAAGGAGTGGGTTACCTAATTCATGGCGCGGGCCGCAGCAACGACGAGACGTTGGTTCCAAGGAGTAAGATAGGGGGCAGGATGGGACATCATTGGTGGGTGGCAGGCAGTGATAACAGCTGATAAGATACCTTGAGGAGCTTCAGAAGGGGAGGGTGACCTTAATAACAACGTCAGCCCCAGCAACAACGGGACGTCGGTTCCAAGAAGTACGACGGGGGGAGGGCAGGATGGGAACATTAGGAAGCCACAAAATTCAATGCACGAGTTGTAGCACACTGGGGAACTTCTTCCAGTAAGCAATTCAGAGGTGGTTAGGGTACATTGGTGGTGGGATATAAGTTGTGATATAGTGTACGGCAAGGGTCAGTATCCGTTCCACCTTTACTCCGCTTGCGACTGATGTTGCTCTTGGAATCAATGGGCAAAAGCTCAGTGTTTCTATCCTTTAGCGTTATAGTAGACCGCTAAACTTCCGAGTTTCGACAAAAAGTAAAAGCTCAAAGTTGTTCGCCAGTGGGGAATGATAAGGGCCACCAACAGGCGGATATGTGAAAACTGCTCAACGGAAGTGTTATGATGTAAGCACATTTCACTATGATTTCGATATTGTTACCTTTCAACCGCTAAGCCGTTCTATCGCCAACGAATGATGAGTGTTTATAGAAATCTGATAAACACATTGGCAATCGCTCATTAAAGAGGAGAAATATGGAAATATCATGAAATGGGCCGAATTGTGAAACATAGGAATTAGGCCAAGTGTTAGGGGTCAACACAGAAATCCTTTCATAGATCAGTACCACAGACTGAACCATTCGCGCAGTATGCGCGTCAGCCATACTGGTGAGTATATAGTCGGCGAAAAAGTTGTGGAGCGGGGGGTATACAATAACTATGCAACGTATATCCCACGGGCGTACAAACTGCATATAGTGCATATAAAAAATTAATACGACGGAGTTCAGAACCACCCATCTCGACGCGGAACATTTTGGAGGTCAGTCCTAGTTTTTTCCATCTCAGCCCATTTCCTCAGGTGTTCTCCGCAAAGTCATATGCAATCACATGAGCTCCAAGATCGACTCCGTTATAAGGCCAATGTTGACAGCAGATCTCTCGGACATGTCCAGATGGACAATGCGCTCAATGTCTCTTTTCCTCCACGTAATCCAAACAACAAATCCCGACGTCAATTCAGATGTCAGCTTCCGTATGTTCGCTGATGAAGTATTTAGAGTGCTCAGTAGGTACCAAAGACCCGCATGCCCTCAAATATCACCGGAATCAAGTAGGTGATTTGAGTAGTTTGTAAACCTTATGAATTCTCGCATCATACGATTGTCCGTCAGTGATATGGAGGAGAATTTGTGGTGATCCCCATCAATTTGACCGCGATATAACTGAACATCATTTGAAAAATACCTCTCTCTATCGACCATCCTCATTAGTAGGATTTAAGACACAGTTTCGTAGACTGAACCGGAAGCGGGTTACGGTAGTTAGGTAAGCGGAGCTCGATTCTTCCCTGATAGTACGCCTGGACATTTTGTTACCATGTGGTCCCGTCGTGTACATGCTCATAAAAGCCCACAATTTTTCGATAGCAGATAACCTAGCATTGACTGGCCTCATCTCGGTGAAAGTTCGACCTATCATCAGCTACGTAGGTGGTCCCACCGACCGGATTATGTGGTTTCTTCGAACCATCTTACCATTAGAGCAGTTACCTTGAATATATATACCATCCCATCTAACCAACTCTCAAATGTTTCTGAAACATCTCCATGCATTGCACCTCAGCAGTGAATGCATGATGGAATCATTTGACGCAGAGGCCCTCTACACCAACACAAGTAGTAGTTCTACGATGGAGGCCATGCTCGAGCTTCTAACTCAGCACCAAGAAGAGATCAACAAACGGGCTGTCTATCAGCCACCAATCATGCTACTCAAAGTTGGTTGCCGGGCTGTCTACCAGCCACCAATGATGCTACTCAAAGCTGGTTGCAACACTCTAAGGTGGTCGGGGAAGTATCACGAGCAGATCAGGGGCTTAGCCATGGGACAACGACTATCGCCTATTTTGGTCACAGCCTTTATGTCCAAAATGGAAGCACCAGTTTTAGAACGGCGCCCAATACTTTATTGCCACTACATCGATGACTGGTTTGTGGTCCGCTCAGCTCAATAGGAGGTGTGCATGTGCTCTGACCTACTCAACACACAATCTGAGCACATTAAGCTGACGCGAGTGAAGTCTTCGAGAAACTGGCTCTTTTTGAGCCCACAGGTGAGAGTTTAAGGCGGTGCGCTTTATACGAAATGGTATAGAAAGCGCGCCAAAAAATTACCGTCCACTGCCACTCCGCTCATCTTGTCCAAACCGCGCGAGCAACTGTATGGAGCATGTTCCGAACAGCGGCAAACGCCTGTTCGGGGGAGGATGAGCGAAAGGATCCGTTTGTTCTCTGCCCTTGAGGGCCCACAGGGTTCGAAATCATAATGGGGAAAGAGATGGAGGTCAGGATCTTGAGGCGAGAATTGCAAACATCTGCGCGGAAAACCCTAGAGGCATTCTGGATTCAGGTCAGCAACCCAAAAATGAACCGGAGGGAATAGTGCCTTACGATAACGCGGAGATAAGACTCCATCCACGAAAGGCCTTCCCATGATGCCCCTGAGTGAAGAATAGTTTGAAGCGGTCTGTCGGCTCAGTGGTCTAAGGGAGCGGGCTATTAGCCTAGATCTGCCCCTTTTTCGTGATTAGGTAAGGATCCTACTAATCTCGAGTTTTAGTAGGGTAGGGTGTACGTTAGTTGGGTAGTGAAGCACTTTGTTCCTTCCAGCTCTGAAGAAGGCGATACTGCCGAAAGTTGACCAATAAACTTCAGTTGAGAATCTCGTGTGGAGGTGAAGTGAAGAAGTATCGTAGTTTCTTCAGTGTTGGGAGGCGAACACGTTTTTTTTATTTTCGCACCCTCCCCTCTTCTATCCTATAGCACTTCGATTTGTGCAGCCGATCACAAAAGAAATGAGAGCAGTACAACAAGATAAGGCTGTTCGGCCCGGGAGGGGCATTTTGCGCTTCTGCTAGCTTTTGTCCAATTTCATGTCACACGTTGGCGAGAACTGTACACTATTGTCAAATGTGAACGATGCTCCTGCATAGTATAGTTTTGCAGGAATTCGCAGGTATCCTAGGAGGCATTGGCAGAGATCCATAAATATGCTCCCACAAGCCGAGCCGACTTCCTGCGAGATACTCATGGCTGTTAATACTCTCTGTATGTTGCATCGCTATTTGCAGCCCTACACTCAGGTATCAGCAATGATCGTGTCACACTCAGTTTTCGTGGCCAGTACCCGTACATGCTCCAGTTTTTGTCGTGATGGATATAGTTACTAATTGTTACTAATTGTATTTAGTTATTGTGTATAAATAGTTTATTGGCGTTAAAGAAACTGTTTCTCTAAGCGCATTTGGGTCATATTTATCAGAATGTGGGCAACTACAAGTACATTGGATCATCAAAGGCGGCAACAATAACCCTTAAGTAACCGATAGATCTCCCAAACGAATCATTCAGCTTCAGAAGGAGCTCACGAATATCATTATCGACTGGGGCAGCAAAACGGATACGAGACAGTATGAGATTTCTCGAGAACTTGCGATCCTTCCAGAGTTCTATCGCGAAATCTTGTGCGTGAGAAGTTCTGGAAAACGTTTTTCGATGTGTTGCAGTCAAAGTGCTCCTTAACATGTGCAAACCTGTGAAAAACAAACTGTTCCCCCCAAGATATTTCGCCACTTCCTTCAACGGACGATGTACGAGCTTTCTTCTTTCCACTCTCCATAACACAATAGGCGTTCATTCCTAAAATTGTGCTTGAGTAGTGTAGAATCAGTTTCTAACATAATCCACCATACTGATCTCTTGCCGCTTGTCAATAGTAACCTTTCTCTCCGATTCACCTTCTGCCTTATCCAGAGAAAGTCCGACAACTGTGATCCTCGTAACCGACGTAGGCTGTTTACATCTCAGCAAGCCTAACGAAGGTGCATGCTAAAGTAAATGGAAATTCGAAATTCATTAGGAGCGACCAGACATACTTCTCTAAGTTTGTACATACATACTATTGGGTGAACAGGCAACACGGAAGTTTTCCATGCTAGAACGAGTTATACTAGGAGGTCTGCGGATGGTTGGGGTTCAGTCAACGAAGATGCGTTGAAACATTTCATTAGTGAAAAAGTAAATGTCTTGTATTCTCCAGCTTCTCTCTTCTTGTAACCTCGGCATGTTAGTTTTCAATAATTTAGTGTTATATTGTGCCTCACGAGGTTTTTAGGTGGAACTATTTATTCAACGGCCTGACGTTTCGACTAATCGTCTTCTTCAGAGGCCTAAAAGTGTTTCGAGGTTAAGAGATGTGCACTACCCCATCGGAAATGCTGGGTGGATTAGGCGCTTGGCGGGGTAGTGCACATCTCTTAACCTCGAAACACTTTTAGGCCTCTGAAGAAGACGATTAGTCGAAACGTCAGGCCGTTAATAAATAGTTCCACCTAAAAACCTCGTGAGGCACAATATAACACTAAATTATTGAATGTCTTGTCTTATTTTGACGCGTTCGAATAGCCTCTTCCAGTCAATCAGAGAGTGACCGTAAAGACTTTCCGCACAGTACCCGTCCGTTTGCCTCGACTCAGAAGGACATGGAAGTATAGTGTTTGGCTGCCTTATTACAACACAAGGCTAAAGCGGCAATGTGAAATCAGATGTATCTCTCTCATGCGTAGTCGCACGCTGTTTACAAGTCTGCTTGACATATCAGCACGATGACGAGATGCTGTTGCCCTTGAGGAGAGGGAACTGTTGTGAGTCCTGGTGAACACCGGAAAATGATACGAACTATGCAGGGTGGCCGAAAACAGTGGGTGCCGTTCTGGCCCCATTTTTTTCTCGCATGAGAATCACGTAAATGGTTTTAGCATTCACGCTGTTCCGTGGCTCTTTCTATTTACCTTTCATAGGCATGTCACGTTCGTGGTTTCTTCACAGTGGCGGCTGTTTATCAACATCGAAATCGGTGAAGCAACTTGTACAACTTGCCTGCTCCTCAACTGGGAACTTCTTCGGACTGACAAGAAGTTTAACCATCAATGTGAGGTCGAAGGCAACGTTGACATGAAAAAGAAACACGACCGCCTACAACAGATCAATACGTGAAGCCCACTGTCAGAAATGATGCCATCATCCTTGAGTCGATCGCCAAGAGTCGAGGAATCGTTTTTAGGAACACCTATAGCATTGTTAAAGGTGCTTGAAATATCTTGGTCAACGACTGTACAAAGAGCAGCCCTTGATCAAAAGCTCATGCGGAAAACGCCAACGAGATGCTGCGAAGGATCGAGGCGCGCCGCGTGGAGGAATAGATGTTGTGCAATGAAAAAAAAATGTCACGACTGAACATAAAAGGCACTCTCTGACAGCACCGACTCAACAGAATACTAGAAAGCACCAGCTTCTCTTTCATCTGTACACATGGTCAGCGCTCTTTGATCAGTGGCATAACCTGCTTTCCCACGCTATTACAGTCTATTAAATAATGGCAAGGAGAGTTGATAAAGTGCACAGATTAGAGAAAAGCCAGATAAAGTTGAGTGTTCATATATACGAAAAAAGAAGAGCGGCGAAGCCCCACCCGCCGGCGTCAGCCGGCTAGCCGATTGGTATCAAATGTACTCGTGACAACCACTGACTATGAGTACGTCTGCCTATGCACTGAAACTTCAAACGAAAAAGTACTTCGTGCAGGCTCCGCTCCGTCCACTGTGGGCGGGTCTCAACACACTGCAGATATACGTTCCTCTTCTCCAATGCCATTTCGAGTGCGGCCCGCCCATTAGATAATTCCCTCATTCCGTCCTCTGATCACTTGTAGACCTGAATCCACTTTTTCTTTATGCCTACGCTCCTCTGTAACTAGTTCTAGAATTTTTGACACTTATCTCAGGGTGGGCTCCGCCCACTATGGGCGTGCCTCTCATTTCAATAGTCAGTCTCTTGCATAGGATTGCTCTTTTTCCGTTCTCTTCGATGCTTTGGAACGAATTCACAAATTTTTGTCTTTGTTTTTGCCCTACCCTCCGCACGCTCCGCCCATCCTGGGTGTGCCTCTTCCACGTCATTCCTCCACTCAATGCTTATTTCACTCGTTTTTCCCAGCGTCCAAGCTCTTATTACCTCGATTACCTTGATTTGTCCTCGCAGACCTCGCCATGAACACAAGTCGACTTTGAGCTATCCATTCTGATCCTGTGCACGTCTTTTCCACTGTCGGCCAAACATTTTCAGTGAGAGTCGGCCTATCTCATTTCCGGTCTCTCTGCCGGTGTTTCTAGTTGAGTGGGATTCAGATCGCAAGTCGCGAGGGCCATCTATTATCTTTCAATCGCACGACACGACCGACCCATCCTCGTTTTCTTTTATACAGTTCCTGGACCACATGATTCACCCCAAATCGCCTTCGAACTTGGGCTCCGCCCACTATGGGAATATGACCTCGAAGTGACACTTCACAAATTCTGCGCTCCATTGATCTTTGCGCTACAGCAAGTTTCTCTTCAACAGTCCTTAGTGGTCGACAACATTCTGCGCCATATGACAGCGTTTCACGGTCGAGTGAAATGGTGATACTGTAGGCGTCATCGGAAGGTTGTCGTCTAGCAGCACTGTTGAAAATCTGCTAATAGTAGACCAGGCTGCTATCCTGCCTCTGCTGAATTCACCGCCGTTGCTCTCTGTATTAGGTTGGCGGGAAAGTTCTGTCACTTTTTCAAATTGGGCTTTCTTTTTATAGAGAGGCGTGTAAGATCAAAATTGTACAGCAATGTTACTGCGGGGTCCTTGCCTGTTTTTGAGCACCTCATGGATGCCATCGCTTCACAATGCAGGGAGGCGCGATACAAAGTTGGACATCATCTCAATCTTGGCTTGAACTCAGACTTTTCGAGGTTTTCTCGTAATTTCTCGTCCAGTAATGATTGATTACGGGAGGCAACTCGCAGTTAGAAGGAGCAATGTCTGTGCTACACCACTGCAAGGGGAGAGCCATCCAGCTCTATTGCATGAGGAACGGCTAGAACTTTTTGGAAGTGCGCTGCACTATCAGAAGCATTTGGAGGGGTCGGTGGCGATGGTAGCGGATAACATTCTTGTCCATATTGCAGAAGAAGAAGCAGGAATCAAGCGAGTGGTACTAATAGAAAGACCACTCTTTGATGTATAAGTGCTCACATTACCGTTCACCCCTCTTCAATGGACAAATACTGCGTTCGAAAAAGTGACAGAACTTTCCTGCCAACCTAGTAAAACTAAGCTGATGTCCCAAGTAAATATAATTGTTGACTTCTTCGAGTATTTCGCCTTCAATGCTTATCCGTGCTTCTGGAGAAACTGGTTGCGCATCCTTTTCGTCTTGGACAAATTGATCCCACTACCAAACTCCTTGGACTTGTTTTGGGAGTCCATCAGCTTGCTTTGGAGTTCAAGTGCATGGTGTGTTAGAATAACATAGTAGTCAGCAAAAAGCAGGTGTGCTGAGCTCTCACCGTCGATATCAACGCCAGTCACTCCATTCAAGTTCACTTAAAGACACATGGTACGCTCAAACACATTGAGGGTGTATGAGACTATCAGCCCCCCAGCTGTCGATGTGTCGTGGTCCCCCCGCCCAAAACTGCACGGGGTCAGAGTACGGGGCCGTGGGAAAGTCGTAATTCCTTGCTACACCGCCCTCACGTTTATGCTAACACCATCCGCGCGACGCGGTGCAGCTCTCTGGAATACAAGTACAACGCAATTTCTTTATGCGGATAACATTTTAGGTGCTGCAAAATAAGAACCGAAGATGATGACGAGGGCTAGAACTCAAGAGCAACTGTGGTGCTTCTGCAATATCCCTCAGAGGCCGCGCATTCCCACAGAATGACATGACAATAAAACATGACAATACAAGCAAAACGCAATTTCCTAACATTTGAGGTATTGCTCATGCTTCAAAGTCCGAATAGAAGGTGATGAAGATGACAAAGGCTAGAAATGAACAACAACGAATGTAGATGTAAATAAAAAATTGAAAAAACTAAGGAAACGCAATAAATTAAAATCGCGTGTGCATTTCTGCGATCCGGCTCGAATCCGGCTCTAATGCTATAGAAATACTTCAAACTAACGAGTGGGACGCTTAGGCCGTTTTTATTTTCATGTTTTGTGGGAATGCGCGGCCTCTGAGGGATATTGCAGAAGCACCACAGTTGCTCTTGAGTTCTAGCCCTCGTCATCATCTTCAGTTCTTAGCAGCACCTAAAATGTTATCCGCATAAAGAAATTGCGTTGTACTTGTATTCCAAAGCGCAATTACAGGACTTGGCAAAAAGCCAAGAGAGCTGCACGCGACCGCGCCGCGCGAACGGTGTTAGTAAAAACGTGAGTTTGCAAAAACGGGCGGCGTAGCAAGGAATTACGACTTTCCCACGGTCCCGTACTCTGACCCCGTGCAGTTTTGGGCGGGGGGACCACGACACATCGACAGCTGGGGGGGGGAGGGGCTGATAGTCTCATACACCTCTCTGATAGTCTCATACACCCTCAATGTGTTTGAGCGTACCATGTGTCTTCAAAAGGGTCTCAAGTTCTATTGCGAACAACTTCGGTGAAATCGTGTCGCCTTGGCAAATATCTTTGCCCATTTTGAATTTCAATATGACAGGATTCTCTGAAGAGCTTGATTGTTGTAGTACACTTTCTGATTAGCTCATTCAGTAGATCTATACCATTTTTCACTTCAATCTCGCCGCCTTTCAAACCATATTCACCCACCTTTGAAACCAAATCCACTACTTTTCAAATCGCATTCACCACGCTTTTCAGAGCGAGCACTTTACCAACCATATCACGCTAGACACTACCGCGAGCCCCGCCCCGGTGGCCATGACTGCTTGTCAGCGGGGTCATAAATTTTCAAACTTTGTTTCGACGCTTCTGCTTCTACGTGCTTTTCGTCTTTTGCTGTTCCGCACATACACATTGACTGAAAAGACTAGACATCGACACATGGCTGACTCCGCCCATTTTTCAAAGAATTTGCAAATTTGAAATTCATGACTTTTTTCAACATTGTTAATTTCACATCCACTCACCACAGAACGGAGGTCCTCACAAATTAGTCTTCGCCCTTAGACAAGCCCACTTCCGCGGTTTCTTGCGGGATTTCCATATTTCCGCAACACTTCCACATTTTTGGACTCGAAGCCCCGCCCACATTGTAGGTGCCCTTCCCACTTTTGAAAAATGATGCGGATTCGCACTTTGGAGCGCGAATAAGGGGTCGAAGCCTGATAGGCCAATCCATAAATGCGCGTCTATAAATGAATCCGTTGTGTAAAGAGGGGGAGTGAAAAAAGACGCTGGAAAGAGTCATGAAAATCTGGAGTTCCCAACAAACTCTGTAAAAATGTCGATGTGTCGATGTCCAGTCTTTTTTAGTCAAAGTGTACAGGCGGAACGCAAAAGACAGAAAAGTCATAGAAACAGAAGTTATGAAACAAAGTTTGGAAATTTACGAATGCGCTGGCAAGTAGGCGTTGCCGTCGAGACGGGGCCCGCAGTAGTGTCCAGCGTTGTGAGGCTGATGAATTGCACGGTCTCAAAAGTGTGATGAATTTGATTTGAAAAGCGGTGAATTCGGTCAAAAGTGGTGAGTTTGGCTTGAAAAGTGGTGAATCCAAAGTGAAAATGTTACATATAGTTGGGATTGACGCCACATCATAGTGCGTTCAGTAGCATTTGCTTCAATCGAATCGAGTGCTTTTTTGCAAGAAAGCCTTACACAGGGGTATTTGCAACTCAGTGCACTCTCCAACAATCTGTCTTGCAGTGTGCAAGTGGCCAACTGTGGAGTATGCACGTCGGAATCCTGCTTGTTCTCTGCCAATGACATGTCTGGGTGTTTGACAGGAGATTGAGCAAGTGACAGGCCTGTAGTTGCTCAGGTCTCGGGGTATCCTTTTTCCACCAGCAGTATTAGTTGCGATTTCTTCCACGCTGAGGGAGTCGTATTCTCTCCGCAATATCGCTGAAGCGCTCTGCTAAGGATTCGAACAGAGATATCCCACCTGCTTTCGACTGTTCGGAACGAATATTATCGTTACCAAGGCTTTTCCCTGTCTTCATTTGCTCGACCTCTCCCCATATGATCTCAGGGATCGGCTCTCATACAGCAAATGAGTGAGCCTTTCGACGATTACCTCAGAGGAGTACAGATCGTTATGAAACTTTTCGAATCTGTCGACTATCCTTGCATAATTTAATGCCCTTACACCGATATCGTCCTTAAGAGCCGATGGTACATGTTGTCTCAGTCGTAGCTCCCTTTCCCTGTCTTTTGAGGCTTATTCGTTTTTCTGTCGCTAGGCGAAGTTTTTTGTGCCTGTAGCCTTCATTGTCTTCTTTGATCTTTTCCCTAATCGCTTTAGATAGTGCCTTGTATCCGTCATTTTGCGCATTACCTTCATATTTCATACGTGATCTCCTCGCCATTTTTCAGCTTTCTTCTTCCCAGTTTTCCTGTCGTGGGTTTCTAAACAGAAATACGGGAGGAGAGACTCGAAGGAAGTGATATACTGAGCCACGTTCGCCTTGACGATTAAACCATCTCCACGTGTTCTTGACCATTGTCGACACTTTTCCCGGGAGGAATTTCATCACCGCTTCACCACCTCGCAGAAGCCTCATCTGCTCTCTCCCATTTCCGTAAACAACAACATCCGCTTTGATCTTAGTCAGCTGTTGAAGATCCCGTCCAGGAGAGCTTTGTCGAAAGCGTTCTGACATTGTAGGACGCAATGTGTGATGGTGCGTCCGTTGTCCTTTTGCCGCCCATGCCTTATGGAGAAGTGTGGGCTTTTCAAGTGAAGTCGAGAACCCCCACGTACCCATCTCGGTCCAAATCTCTTTCTTTCAAAGTTTTTGTCGGGAATCTTCTGCAGCAGTTCATTCGAGTTGGCAGCCCTCTTGTCCTTTAGCTGCTCCGTCTAGATTTGTTACGTTGCATTTGCGTCTACTTTAGTGTACGCTTCCCTTGGCCTTTGACCTTCCAATCTTGACGGTCTAGCCCTCAAGGCAGAGGGAACAATGATCTTTTGCGGCGGATCGTGGTCGCCGTAACATGGGATCGCCATTGAGCTTTGTGAATTTTT